ACTCGATGGCACCTGACAACAACAACAAAATCTTTACGGGAACAGAAAGCCTCATCTTTCTCTCACGGAACAGCTGGTAGTTTTAAACTGCTGACCTTGAGGCTCACAGCCCGATTCAAAACCAGTACGCTACCAGAGCTCCTTTCTTAAATTACATGATAGCGGAGAAAAGACTGAATTTGTCAAAAACTTCGTTTTGCTTGGGTTCAAAATCCACATTCATGGAAGCAATAGTTAAAAAATCAAATCTGTTGAAAAGACCTTGTTCAAGTGCTAAAGTGTAAATGTATCACTTTGAAAACCAAGATGCGCCTAATCCAAACCATGGGATTTCCAACTGCCTTTTATACATGTGAAAGTTGGACAATGAATTAGGAAGACCACAGAAGAATTGATGAATTCGAATTATGGTGTTGGTGAAGAATATTGAAAATACGATGGACTGCCAAAAGAACAAACATGTCTGTTTTGGATGAAGTGCAGCCAGAATGCTCCTTAGAAGCCAGGATAGCCAGACTTCATCGCTCATATTTCAGACATGCTATCAGGAAGGACCAGTCCCTGGAGAGAGCATCATGCTTGGTAAAATGGAGGGTCAGCAATAAAGAGGAAGACCTACAATAAGATGGATTGCCACAGTGACAACAACAATATAACAATTGCAAGGATGGCACAGGACTGTGTCATTCTGTTGTGCATAGGGTTGCTATGAGTTGCAAAGGGTTCAAAGGCACCTAACAACAATGAAAAAGAATTCAACCATAATGAAAAGGATAAAATGAAAAGTAAAATTCTCCCTTTCTTCCTTCTTTCTTGTAATCTCTCGCTGGAACCCTTAAACTATTATTTATGAAAAAAATAATGAGTAAAATCAATATAAGAACTTTTACTTGTTTACTGAAGTTGCAGGTGAAGTCTGAGCCGTCTTTTCACCTTCGCCTTGAGAAGTACCAAATTCAGAATCCTGTAACCTCTCTCTAATCTTTGGCCGCTTTAGATGACCGCTTCGAGTACGAGTGGAAACAGGTGTTTTACCATGACCTAAGAGGAAAAAATTACAAAACTGCACTGAACTGGTTATGCAGGCTGAGGAATTATCTATGAAAACACACAGAAATACAAGGACTCTACCAGTTTATATATATCCCCATCATTATCAAGATACACCCTTCCCTCACTGAGGTCAGGCTAAGAAAACAATGTCAGCCTATTGCTCTAAAGTAGAAAATAACTTTGTCAACATTCATTCCTCACATTCTCAGATTACTGTCAGCTCTGCCAAGGAGTTCTGCATTTTCATATACATTCTCTCCCACTAATACTGAAAAATGAACACAGTAGATATTTTTGTCCTTATTTTACAGATAAATAAATGAGGCATAGAGAGGTACCATACTCAGGGTTCACACAGCAAGGTAAATGATGGTAGTGGCATTAGAACCCAGATTTAGATTTTAGAGTCAGAGAATCGAATCCTTTATTTGACACACACACACACCACACTCACTACTGATTCTGTCTCAAACACTTACTGTACAGATCAGTTAAATTTCTTACCTTCAGAAGTGCTTGCAAAGGCATCTGTTAGAGAATCAATCTGAAACAAAGACATAGATTAAAATCCACATATGTAAACCATATTTTTTCTCCCTATGGAACTAATTTATTTGCAGCTTCAAAGACAAACTTAAACATTTTTCAAATAGCATTTTTTGTACTCTTAGTTACATCAATTTAAAAAGTTAATCACAGTATAAAAAGTAAGTGCATTATAAGCATAAGAACTTCTGAGGCCACCTACACTATGTCTAACATACTGGAGAGATCCCTAGTATCCTGCCCTCAGCAACCTTCTCTTCTTAGTCCACATGCTCCCCCGTATTATTTTAGCGACTTACCTTGACTTCAACATCTATTAGCTGATGAATCTAAACACACAACTTAAACTGCCCAACTTCCTTCTGACTTCCAAAGTTCTCCTTCGAATGGATTACTGACTACCGAATGTTCCTCCAATTTTACATCTAACATGACCCCAAAATAACGCTTACGTTTCCCTAATATTATTACCCGGATTGGTTAATGGCAGTACCAGTTCAGTCATGTGAGCCAGATACCTGTGAGGCAATGGCTTCTTATCCCTCATTCAATTGGTCACAACGTCTGACAATTTTAACTCTGAAGAGTCTCTGAACACTGCCCCCTCCTTTGTGTTACCACTGCTATACTTCAGCCCGCTAGCATCTGTAACATGAAGCATTCCAACAGCCTCCTCACCGGTACCCTTCCTTCTAACCACATCCCCTCTTCTCTGTCAAGCTGATGACAATGCTGGTTCTAAATCACAAAGTATTTTCGTGATTTCACAATTCCTTTGCTTTTTGGGCCAAGGGGACTTTAATGGTTAATCATTGCACAGAAGGCCAATTCCCAACCTCTTCAAATAGCTTTCCATAACATGATCTGATCTCTCTTTCTCTCCGAGTTCTTTTCCCACCCTTCCACAACAGTATCTTGAAGCTTTAGCCATATTGAACTGTTTTGCAATTCCCCAAACAAGCCATTTTCTTTCACACCTCTGTATGTTTCTACATGCTATCTTCTATTTGGATTACCATGACAACCTTTGTCACAGAACTCAAGACTCAGGCTTCCAAAGTCAACCTGGTTTCTATTTCACATGTTCCAGTTCTTAGCTAGAGACGTCACACAGACTCTGCCATGTGCCTCCAATCACTTCCTATACACTCTATTAATGGAGTCCCTGGTTGGTGCAAATGGTTAACATACTCAGTGGCTAACCAGAAGGTTGGAGTCCTGGTGTGACGCTGTAGGATAGGCACTGAACCACACAATCAGTTTGAACCACAAGGTCCGTGGTTCAAACTCACCAAGCACTCCTCAGAAACCCTATACAGGGTCACTTTGTGTCAGAACCAGCACGATGGCACTTAACAACAACCAGAAGATTAGAGATTCTAATCCACCAAGAGATGCCTAAAAAAAAAAAAAGTCTGGCGATATACTTCCAAAAACTCAGTCACTGAAAAACACATGAAGCACAATTCTACTCTGACACACATGGGTTTGCCCTAAGTGGGACTAGAGCAGACAGCAAAGGGTTGTTGCTGCTGTTGTTAAGTGCCGTTGAGCCGGTTCCAACAATAGCAACCCTATATAGATACGGTTTTCAAAAAGCAGCTGGTGAGTTTGAACCACTGACATTGCTGCCCAAACAACTTTGCAGTCTAGTGCATTAACCCTCAGTGCCACACCAGGTATATTTGTTAACATATTTGTTTCCAACAATGAACCACTTCTTTCTCCCATTTATATGAAAACCGATCTTTGTTTGCTACAGGACCTACTTTACTATATAAATGCAAACATCTTTCAGTCATTCAATCACCCATCCACATTTATTGAAATCCTACAACAGGACAGGTCCACAGACTTCTATTTATAAGAAACAAATGTATGAAGATGGTATGATAAAAATACAACCTACAAAAAGCCTGTAGTTCAATTAGAAAAAGTATGACAAAGGTAAAAATAAACAAATTCAAGGTCCAAACAGTACCATAAGAGAAGCGTAAATTATTATGCAAAGAGGAAAAAGCCAATACCATCATTACCTAAAGAATAAATCATATGGCTGAAATAAACAAAGGAAACACTTCCTTGTGTAGTTACTGCTAAAAAAGGAAAACGAAGTAGTTCAATATGAGAAATAAGCGTTCCTCCTGAACGAAATAAATACCACATTAAAGTACCATGATGAAAAGGAATTTCTAAAATGGAAAAACAATTCTAATATATGTTGCTAGCTTTACAAAATGGCTCCATTGTAATACACCAGGCTTCAAACAACAGAATGCAAAGCGAATAGCATTGTTCCACAAACTTTTTTGAAGCCCCCTAGTGTATTCTCACTAACATGACATCTGCTTGATAACTTAAAAGGTTATAGGTTGAGGTCCACCCAGAAGAAAAATCTGGCAATCTACTTCTGAAAAATCAGCTATTAAAAACCCAGTTCTATGCTGACACACAAGAGCCATAATGAACTGATGGATGGCAAATGTCATTTTTAACATGACTGTGAAACTAAAAACTAAGTTTGGATTTTTTTTTTTCTTGTTTCTAAAAATACCCTGAATAACTGCCAGGTAGGGACCACACAGTCCCCCACATTTGGCAAAATAACTTCAGGAAGCGAGGGAACACGATGCAGTTATGCATATTCCTACAGGCCCAGTGACGGGAGGCTCTGGACCTTGGAGCGCTCCCAGATCATGGCTGGTATGTGTCTATGCTGACATAAGTGGGTAACTGTCAGTATAGGCAGGGACCAGTGTCTGTGAATTCTGAGTCCTTCAAGACAATTAGTGAAGCCCCAGGAGCAATGAGCCAGTAGGAGCTGGCAGCACAGAATCCATCTGCACAGGCTCAGCTCTGCGGGGCTGGATGAAGTATATGAAGCAAGCCACAAGCCCCTCCAGCTTCTGACCTAGCCCCACGAGGGGATTGAGATAGATGGGAAAGAGAGGAGCCAGCAGGTCTGAAGTAGAGGAAGTTGTGCAGATTCCTAAGCCTACAGCTGCTTCCTGATGACCTGGGATGTTTAGACCTGGCTCAGGATAGCCAGGAATGAGATCTAATCTACCCTTGGGTGTTGAGGATCTGAGAGAGTCTCTGCTGTGGAAGTGGCTGATGATGAGAGACAGAAATGTGGGAAGATGAGACCTGCATTCATTCCCAGGTGACAACTGGATTCCTGCTGACTCTTGTCAAGCAGTTAGTGATTAAGGTGGGGTTTGCCCACCATTCCCTTTTACAGTGCACTTTGTAATACTGTCTACATAACTGAAAATTATTTGGCTTAATATTAAACAAAATAATGTTGTTGTTGGGAATTATCATCAAGTCAGTTCCAACTCACAGAAACCCTGTATAGGGTTTCCTAGGAGCAGAGCAGCTGGTGAGTTTGAACTGCCAACTTAATGGTCTGCACTCCAGTACCAGTTCTACAGCACCACAACATTAATGTATTGGAGGAGTACATTTTTCTACCTTCATAGTATTTTCATTGATTTTATGATAATGGCCCAATACTAAATTTGAATATACGTGAGGAATTCTTATTGCAATCTAATAGACATTTGAAGCTATAAATGCAGAAAAAAACCATTAACCTCTTACGTATTAGTTATTATTTATACTACCCTTTTAAAGTTTCAAAATTTTTTACTCAGTCAACTCTCATAACATTTAAGAATAGAAGTAAATACAAATAATTTTCAAAAGCACCTTTGAATGCACACCAATATCCATAGCGGCACTATTTACAATAGCAAAAAGATGGAGACAGCCTAAGTGCCCATCAATGGAAGAATGGATAAACAAACTGTGGGACATACACACAATGGAATTATTATGCTACCTTTAAGAACAACAAGGAAAACAAGGAAGCTATAAGCCAACACATAACATGGATGAACCTTGAGGACATTATGCTGAGTGAAATTAGTCAGTTACAAAAGGAGAAATACTGCATAGGACCATTATTGGAAAAGACTAAGAAAGACAACCCACCCAAAAGGGGGAAAAAAACAACAAAAAAAAAAACTATATATATATAATTGCTGATCACTGGGATGTATGGGATGAGAGATGGGGAGGGAGCGCAGGGAAGATGGCGCACAGGGTAGGGAACAGACACAGGAAAACTTGGGTGCTGGGGGGGAGTGGGCAATACACACGAAGGGGGAGGGGAATAGAAGAACAAGGTGGATGGGAGAATAGTTACACAGGTGCTCATGCGCTAAGTGGGACAGAAGTAAATGATGAGGTATGTACAAATACCTTGGAACAAAACGGCTCTGGGATACAGGGATTGTGGCATGGTTTGAAGGGGTCTCCCTTAGCTACCACAGTAAAATAGACACTTTAGGGGGTAGAAAGGAATAGCCAGAATCATCACAACAGAAAGCATGTAAGTCTGTCTTCAGCCTATAACTGACAGGAATACCTTAAAGGGGCCTAGAGGCTTCCTGTGGAGACTTTACATTGCACAAGACCATAGGTGGAATCCAGAACCCCATCCAGACAGAACCAACTAAGGTAGGAAATTTCCACTGGAAAGGACAAGTAGACCAGCCTGGAGCAGCTAGAAAAACCGAAGATACTTCGTGAAAGAAAAGACCATCAGGAAAAATCCGAAACGATAACAGCAGTCTGATTGATTACTGCAAGAACAAGGAAGCTGTTCACCGGGGAGCCATCAAGGCAAATGGTCGGGACCCCTCAGAGCAAACCCCCTTCCAAGAACGAGACTCAAGGGGAATACATGAGCAGGCAGGTGGTCTGGCTGGTGACCATGCTGGTCACCGATAAGGGGAAAAGGGGGAAAAACAGTAATGAAGTTGAGAGCTAAGCCCATCCACATTCAATAAACCCCTGTGAACCCGGGTGGAGACCTGGATGGCCAGCAGTATGGCAAGACCCGGAGACTCCTGGGTCCAGAGGCAGTCACATGGCCACAGAGGACTAGAGAGGAGAGTAAAGCGTCCTGCTGATATGAATAAAGTGAAGGGAGATGCACAAGAACACCCATACTTCCAGACAGAACCCACTTGACCTGGCTTCGACAGCTGGATGATCAGAACTCAACTAGAAGAAAGAAACAAAAAAAAGAGTAACCTGCTACAATTTGATGAACTTTACCTAAACTCATGGAGTCCTGGTGTAGCACTATGGGTTAATGCGCCAGACTGCAAAGCCGTTTGAACTGCAAAATCAGCAGTTCAAGCTCACCAGCTGCTCCTCGGAAACCCTATACAGGGTCCTTATGGGTTGGAACTGATTCGATGGCACTTAACAACAACAATGGATGTAGTAGCTCAAAAAAGGGAACAAATCTTTACAGCGAGGATCACTCCCGCCCTCTCAGTACAGAGGGTTGACAGGGATGGGCAACTTAGACATTGGCTACCCAAAATGGGGGGGTCCTATAAAGTCAAGAAGTGACTGGCTTAGAAACTTTCAAGAGGGAGCCTAGTTCCAGATGGGGCAGGGGAAAGTAGAATCATCAATGAATGATTTCCAATCTGTTGGGACCTGGCTGGCAAAAGGAAATGGGGATAAGACTCTTGTGGTACAACAGTGAATAATTGCCATCAGGAGGAAATACAGAGGTAGATGTTTTTTGACAAAAGGAGGGGAGTGATTGATTTTGTAGCCCAGGAGCAGAGGTCCCTGGGACCATCAATTGAGAAGAATCTACAGCAGGACCCTACCCAGAGAGTCAGTGATGCCAGGGATGGAGACAGAGATGATGACATGGGACAGATGGAGTGGCTAGGGATATGGACTCGGAGGGAGAAGGGCTGTGTGTTGAGGGCCAGCAGGGTACGGGCCTGTGGGGTGTATATCCTTTGGTTATTTGATGATGCATGGAGGGGATGGTAATCACTGCAATGAAACGAAATAAGATAGGATGAGTGTAAAGCTGATGTTCTCCCATGTAAACCTCACAATAAAAACTTAAAAAAAAAAGAAAAAAATCCTCACAGCTGTACTAATAAACATCATGATAAACGGGGGGGAAAAAAGCACCTTTGAAATGCAAATGAATTTACACACTCATATTCACCACTCACTAAAAATATATTCAGATATCCTCATACAAACTGTATGACTGTAACAGATGCCACCACAACAAAACTGCATAGATACAGGCTTCTGTCCTGGAGTGGCACTATAGGATAAACACTGAACTGCAAACTACAAGGTTGCCAGTTCAAACCCACCAGCTGCTCCGTGAAAATTTTATATAGGCTTGCTCTGAGTCAAAAGTGACTCAACAGCACTTAACAACACAATCCTATCAACAGGCCCATATTTTGAGTAATATCAAATACCACAAAATATATTAGTTCTAGGAAAGAGCCTGGTACCACCTCTGGAATGCAGTGTAATGAGGCCTGTCCTTCTACTGTTGAGGACGACTAAGGTTTGAAAAGTGCATTATGTTCTTTAAATATCTAGACCGAAACTTTCCACAATGACTTCATAAACTCTGATCTACTGTGAATTCTACTACTAGGAGCTTATATGCACAATGATTCATGTATAATTGTGTTCACTCTTTAAATAAATATCCTATGTTAAGGAAATAAATTACGGTTTTTATATACAACAGAATAGCACACTGCTATTTACCAATTATGTTTTAAAACAGCAATGGAATGCATTACCATAATGAAGAATAGTAGTTAGGAGCCACATAAAAGAAGAAACAAAAATATAATGTGTAGAGATAAATATTTCATAGTACCGGGTATTCAGTCCATATACCAGAATATTAATAATCACTAATATATATATAAGTACCACCACCATAATGCTATGAGGCTTGATTAGGTTGTATGTTGAGCCAATGTCTTTGAAAAAGGAGACCTGGTGGTGTAGGGGGTTACGCATTGGGATGCTAACCTCAAGGTCAGCAGTTCAAATCCACCAGCCTTAAAATAGATTAGAAAGATCAGGCATTCTAATCCTGGAAAGATTTATAACCTCCAAAACCCTACACAGGTTGCTAAGAACCAAACTCAACAGCACACAACCACTACCATTATCAATATCTAGGTGGTAGGATTCCAGATTTTTGTTTTATTATTTTATTTACTCTCCAAATTACCATCATATTGTTAAAGGAGTTCTCGTAGTGTAGTGGTTACGAATAGGGCTGCAAACCGCAAGGTCAACAGTTCCAAACTATCAGCTGCTCC